GGGAGGGGAGCGCTGGGGTGGCAAGGCAAGGCAAGGCAAGGCAAGGAAGGAAGCGGAGTTCTCTTCTGAGAAAGTCGGAGCGTGCTCCGAGCTGCGTGTGATCTTGCGTGGGCGCCTGTCGTACGGGGGTTAGGTGCCTTTACACTTCGGTGATGCTGAACTGCTATGTTTGTTGGTTTTTTTTTTTTTTTTTCCCCTTCAGGTCATTTTTCTTCATGGACTGGGAGATACCGGGTGTGTATTCTGATCTGTTACATACTTAATTAGTTGCTATAGTTTCAAATATAAGGCTGCATGCTTTAAAGACGTGAGCAGTTTAAAGTTACTTAAGCATCTTATTTTGCCCTTAACTGACCGCAGTGGCTAACAACAGATGAAACTTCATGTATGCTGGAATGATGGTGACAACTATTTATTTAAAATTTCCCAGCATAACTTTTCTTCTCTCTTTTCAGTTGCTTACCTAATTTGGTTTGAATGTGATCCCTCTTTTGTTCTTGAGTTAAAGTTGGTGGAAAAAGAAGTCTGTGGGTTTCTGATCTTTCGCTTTCCTGGGAGTGGGTTCCTTGTTATTCTTGTACTTTACTAAATTTAGAGTTCTCTTTTTTTCCAGACTTGTGGATTGCTGGTTTGCTAGTAGGTGCAGTTAGGCCATGGTTTCTTCTTCAGCATGTCACACTTACATTAAAATCCAGGCTTACTTGATTTATCTAAGCAAACTCCTAAGTAGTCACCTAATGTCTACAGATTTCTCTATCTGAAATAGGGTCTTCAGACTCAAAAAAAAAAAAAAACCAACAAGAAAAACCCCAGCCCAACAAGCTGTGAAATACCCTGTTTGCCTTGTTCCTGTTGTTTCAACATTTGAGTAGAAATGGAAAGATTAGGCAACTTTTGGGAGGCATTCTAGGTATGGTATGATTCTTCCATTTGAAGCTTATGTGTGGTAAGATATAAGCGAAGCATACATTTATTAAAGCCATTGAATTGACAAAGTAGGAGTGTGTTGAAACCTTTTTTTTTAGTAGAAGACTTAAAAGGAATTGACACTTGGATACTGAAAACAAGTAGCATGAATGCTTTGTCTGTTGTGCTCCCTTATGGGCAAAATTACGTAGTACTTTTTTCTAAGAACTCTGTTTTTGTTACCTGGAACTTGAATGTTGCCTCTAGGTTGAAACTTGCAATGTTTAAGACACAAACTTTTTCTGAAGAACCAAAGAAAGTCAGCTGTCAAAATTTAAACTTGTGTAACCTGGGCATTTAATAAGTTAAAGAGTCAGGTCCATGCACTTGGCAGTATTCTGCAAGTGGAGATGTTTGCTCTCATTTGTTGTGCTGACACACCACCTTGTTTGCATTACCCCTCTTCCTTTCTGCTGGTAGGACGCAGCTGAGGCAGCAGTGTTTCCTGCATCTTGGCACCAAATGTTCAACAAGTGATTTGCAGAGTCTTTTGAGTCTTTGGAATTTGAGTCCTTGCAAATTGGGTTGATGTTGGTTTTGGCAAGGGGAGAAAAACACAGAGATTTGCTCTTTAACATAAATTGTATTCCTTATATAAATGTGATTATTTCCATTTTGGTTGTCAAAGCTAATGGGCCGTCTCTGCAAATGCACTGAGCATACTGGAATGTATGCATTAACAAGTCCTAACACCTCTGTGGAAATATGGTGATTTTGCTGTATTTGTTCCTCTAGTGCACTGTGCAGATCAGATTAACTAAAACTGCATTTGACATACTGCTTTTTTTTTTTTTCCCCAAAAAGCTGTAGTAGTGACCCAAAAAAGAATTGTCTGAAGAGAACTCATTAACAATTTGATAATCTACCACAGTTTAAACTGACCGGTTCTACTTCACATGAATTTTGGTTTACCAATGGTATTTTTCATACTCTGGGAAGTGTCTAACAGAGGTTATGTTCTTTTTCTCTCTTAGCTCCTATATAAATGGCACTTAACGATTGGTACATACTTGTCAAAATCTGAACAAAAGGTACAACATACAGGATTGTTCTAAAGAGTCTGCATAAATGTGTATACGATGTATATATAATACGCTTTCCAAATTTGTCAAATTAATCTTTATAGGTGGCTAGTAGAAGTCCCCAGATTCTTAGCTAACTAGTTTTTCTCAGTTGTATTTCTCCTTTAGATTCTTATTTGGCCTTCTGTGATACTGCAAATATTATGCAAGTAATATCACCCATAATTGTTAATGGTATGTATAAAAGTATTGGTAGGACATGGGTGAGATATACAGCCAGTGTTTCAAATGTCTGTGCTGTCTGTGTGTTTGAAACGTCTTTAATTTTAGGGAGGATCCATTAACTTTTCAGGATGATTTTAAAATTAAAACGAAACCAAACTTGCTTTTATGGCTTGTCTGCTGTTGGTCTGATTAGTTCAGCTGTGTCACTGATTAATTTGTTACAGCTGTTTTCTGCTTATCATCAACTTTCCAGTATGTAGTTTAGTGGGTGAGGTAGGAATACTGAATAATGAGAAAAATCAGGAAATACAGGTACTGTTGAGTGTTCCGGAAGGCAAAGTGCAGGCACAGGCAGTGGTTCTGCGCAGGTTCAGATTTTGGGTCCAGCTCCATTTATGCTTAGATGAGACCTGGAGTGAGTCTTTCAGAGCTGTTCATTTAAATTATGCTTTCCAGTTTTCTGGTTTGTAGGAAGCTTGATAACTCATCTGCTGTGCAGATCTCGCATTGTTCTGTGCATTCATACAGCATGTGCTTGAGATTAAAAAAACTACCTGCAATCTGGAGCATTGTTCAGGATTGCCTGAGTCTGAGATCATTTGAGCTGAGCCAGAGTTAATAGGTCTGATTGATTAGGTTGGCTCCATGTGGAGTTAGCTTAGATGTCAGTTCACTACTCTCCCACATGAGGAAATTTGGTTCAGAAGAAGCAAAGCTGGCTGCGGAAGAAGCTGCCTTAACTCTATAGGAGCAACAAAGCAGCCTCTGGGCTAGAGCTGCCTGGAAGCAGGATACCTGTGCTCATATGTTGTAGCACCCAAATTAATAAAACCAGCCAGATACAGAGCAGGCTTTGCGTAGAGCCAAAGTGATATCTCTGCAGCTGTGCCGCAACTAGGGTAGTCAGATAAAGTGTCCCTGGCTGTATATTTGCAACAAATAATCAGAGGCAGAACAAACCTTTTAAGTTTAGTACTATATTCGCAGCATATGGCAGTTGATGTAAAATTTTTCTAGAAATGTGTTTATATTGATCTAATGCAGCATATTTCATACTTGCTCTGTGCTGCTGCACCAACATAACAGCTAAGCCAAAACATAAATGCCATTTAAAATATTTTTTGTTAACAGGCATGGATGGTCAGAAGCACTTGCAGGTATCAAAAGCCCCCATGTAAAATACATTTGCCCACATGCGTAAGTTTGTAACTTTTCTTGGTTTACGTTTTTACTTATTAAATGTACTTACGTTTACGTGTTACTTATTAAGACACTTGCACAGATGAAGAAGTCAAATGGGATTTGGATGTCTCTGCATTTCATTTTTATGTAAAAAACCACTCTAAAATAATTTTGATGCTATTAAATATTTTGTTATTTTTAGGAACTGTTGTGTGACTTTATGGCAAAACTGCATTTTTATTCATGTTTTGCTTTTGTTACTAATTCAGACTGAAAACATGTTTGAAAAGTTTTATGTGCAAAGTTAGATTGTTTTGACTTTGTTTTCGCTGGATTGAGTTGTTTGTTGCTTTTTTTCCCCCAACAATCATTTGTTAAAAGCCAGTCTTAAAAAGGACTAATTTTTTGTATTTTACTGACCATTAAGTATACTTTGTATTAGGTACATGTACTTCTTAAACTCAGGTGCATGTATAATAGATGAAATTCCCCTGATACCTACAGCAAGTTTCAAAGATTCACAGGATATTCCTATTTTCAGCAAATAATGGAATTTGAGCTGTCTTTGTGCAATTTGAGAGGTGAAATACTTCTGAGCAGGGTCAGGAATCGGTAAATAAAGCATTAACATATAGCTAGTATTTATTTAATGACAGAAAAACTAATCAAGTATAATCTTAATTTATTTTAACACAAAATTCAGATTGTCTTTTGCTCCGACAGTCTTGGGAGACATGGAGCAGGGGTGATAGGGAGATAAGTAAGCAATGTTTTGTTTGGTGTATTACTGTTACTGGGCTGTGATTGATTGATTTATTTTACCACATGGCCACGCTTTGCTGAGCCATTCAAAAAGAGCTTAGCAATATCTGCTGTTCTTTTTGCTTGCCCTTTGTCTTCTTTCAGTCTTTTCGCGCAGAACTTATGTTCCTCAATTTTGGTAGATTAAAACTATAGCCAGATGTGATCCATGGCGTGGTCCATTGCAGTTGTCTTGGTATGTCTGAAAAGATGCCATACTGCAGCATAAGGGTGGGAATGAGTCCTGCAATGAAGGCGGGCACTGCTTAAGTGGATTCTGCTGTTGAGAGAAGCATGTGTGGCCAGACTCGTATCCGCTGCTGTGCTGCGTTTGGCTGCTTCCTTAGGTTTGCTGATGCTGCTATGTAAGGTGCCTTCATCCACTGAGCATGTGTATGAAACTGTGATAAATAACTGTTACTTAGAAATAACCGAGGCACATGTGTGCTTTATGTCTGTCTATCTATATGTCTGTCATACGCATATGCTATATATGCACACATACATTTTTGTAAAGCAGCCCATTAATGTTTTGCTTGCTCCCCATAGAGAGTGGTAATTCAGCTCTGAATATTAAATGTGTTTGGGCTGGCAGGTTTCAAGAGAGATTTTTTTGAAGAGATGCTACAAAGTAGCTAATGTTAATTATGGTTTAAAAGTAAGACAGAATTAGGGATATGTAATTTCATGACGTAACTGCATCTGCATTACTAAATTTCAGTATATCTCTTATGTCAGTGGTGTTCATTCTCATTTCTAGGCCAGTTATGCCAGTTTCTTTGAACATGAACATGGCTATGCCATCGTGGTAAGTATTTGTTCAATTGCAGATGATTCTAATCAAAAGATATCTAGGGATTTGAGCTCTTTGTTCTTAATTAAAAATCATGAACAACCTGAATGGCTAGTTTTAGTCAGATGTAAGTATAAAAAGCTTTTTGCTTTAGTTTTGCTCTTATAAGAGAGCTCTCACGAGTATGCTCTAATTCCTTGTGTATCTATGGTAATGGTTATTCCTCAGGACTAATCTGTATGACTTAAAATAAAAAAAACCCCACTTTATTTTACAATTATAATACACACACAGTAATAATACACAGTAAGCCTGTATTGTGTGTGAATTCATAGTCAGTAGTCGTAAAGACCTGGAGCGGAAACATTATTGCTACTAGCAAATAATACTTGGTGGGTCAGTAGGATATCTAGAAACTATTCTTTAAAACATCCATTCTGAATAGAAAGCAAGAAAAATATGGTAGATTTCAATGGTTTTAAACCACTCCTCGTCAGTTTTTCTTTCCGTAAGTAACGTGTGTTTGTTTTTCCTGTATTTCTTCAAATACTGTTTTAATTTTGTACATGCAACTGATAATTCCTGCTGATATTTTTGGAGCAAATACCAAAACTGAGCTGCTTAATCTGCAGTAAATTGCAAAAGAAAGCAAAACTCAGAAAAACTTTGTTGACTAGATTTAGCCTTTTAGCCACATTCACAGATTGCCCACTATGTCTTGTAAACTATGGGTGGTTGGTACTAACTAACATGTCAGCTACCATTTTTATCTGGAAAGTATCCCAATTTTATTATTTGTGTTTTAAGGAAGTGGAATGGATGCTCTAATGAGTAATTCTCTTGTTGATATTTTTGTAAGGTTTGATATCATTGGACTTTCTCCAGATTCACAGGAAGATGAAGTTGGGATCAAGCAAGCAGCGGAGAATGGTATGCTTAGGAATATTTTTTATGGCTTAAAGGTACTTCTGTGTATTCTTAAAAATGAATTACCAGTCTGAAACAGATTTTGCAAAGAAAAAATGGTTAGGGAAAGTAATAGGTATATATTATTGCTGATCAAAGTTTAGCCAAGTGCATATTTTGTTTTGTGGTTTTGTTTTTTTAAACTTCATGAGTAGGTAGAGTAGTTCACCAGTACAAACACTTCATACTCTCAAATATGAAATGTACATGGGAACCAGTGTATTTTTTTAGTGTATTGTTTTTTAACAGCTTCTGGGTAGCACAACAGGTTAGAGATGTATGAACATTCACTTGTGATGCTGGATAGATAGAAGAGGATAGCCTCTTCTGGCAGTGGGGCTTTTGCAAGACTTGCATGTTCTTCTCTTTGGAAATGGTACAGTGGCACTGGAATTTCTGAGCATGCTCTAGGCCTTTTGATACGTTTTAATGTATAGCAGACTAGATTTTTCCATTCACTAGTTTTCTGTTGACATCAGGGAGAAGGTCTCTTTCCTATTCTAGGCTTTCTACAGAATGGAGTGGTTTTTAACTACTGGCCTTTATTTATGTTGCAGTTAAAGCACTGATAGATCAAGAAGTAAAAAATGGAATTCCTTCTAATAGAATTATTCTGGGAGGCTTTTCTCAGGTAAGCTATGGTTGGAAAGAACTGTCTTTTTTCTAGGGAAGTAACTTAGCTTTCCTAATGTGGGAAGTCCAGACAGTTGAATTGGAAAGTGTTGATGTTAGGTGCTTCTAAAGTTTTAAGGTGTCAATTTTCCTTTGCCTTAACAAGTGAAGTTTTTTAGTTTTATGCCAATAATAACTATTCACTGGAAAATGAACATGCGTGTGGAAAAAAGGTACTAAAATTAATAGTCTATTTAAAGTCTTTATGTACATAACTTACATAGCTTTGCTTGAAAATCTTTCTAGTATTTTTAATGTAACTTTAATTTGGTAGATATTTGATGGTCTGGATTTGTTTGGGAAATTCTTCCCTTCATACTTGTAACGACATCTGTGGTAGGTAGGTTAATAGATTAATTAATCCATACACCAACTTCCCAGTCTGCATGCAAGTAAATTAAAATATTAAAGTAGTGATAATACTGTCATGAGTGATAGTGCTTTGTTTCATGTTTTGGTTCCCCCACGCAGACGTTAGTTACAGTGAATTTGCTGTTTTACTTCTGAATTGATCATATGGACTTGGGGCGGGGTGGGGGGGAGGAAAATAAATGTTGTACAGGAATACTGGTTGGTTCTGAGGAAGAATAGATTGGAATAGAAGGGAGAAACCAGAGATCTTGAAACAAGCATTAGAAGGAACATTACCATCACCATTCTAATACTTATCTCTCTTTATCTTAGGGAGGTGCTTTATCATTGTATACAGCTCTTACAACACAACAAAAATTAGCAGGTGTTGTAGCCCTCAGCTGTTGGCTTCCTCTACGGGCTTCTTTTCCTCAGGTATTTATGTTTCTTTCCTAAGCTGATTTGCACTTGGGGAATGATTGTATCTGAAGATTGTGTCTTGTGCAGGAGTTAGTGGTCATTGTTATTACCGAATATTGACGGTTGTTTGAAAACTCAGCAGTTTTTAAAATAGGGCCCTGGAGTTTTAGAGTTTGGCAAGTAGGGAGAATGAGGAAATGCTCAGTAGCTATCTCTGTTTTAAATGACAGTCCTAGGCAACTTAAAGGATATAGCAAATTTTCCTTAAGGATGAATTTTCTGTATGCCATTTGTTCCATCTGCAAGACACTATCTTATTAGAGACTAGGCATTTATCAAAGTATCAGGTTTTTTACTTGGCCAGGAATCATGTTCTTCTGTTCTCAGATTAGTGCCAAAATTTTATATGCAGGTTTTTTAACTTAATGTGCTATCAGGCACAGAGCTTACTTCATAAGGAACTTGCAGACTATACATTATGTTTTTTTTTCTGTCAGAATTCAACTTACTTATCATGCCGCAGGCCATAGTGCCATGGGGTTATTTTAGCTCGAAGTTGTCAGCCTTACCTCTACTTACTGTCTCTTTCTTCTCTTCTCTGCTCTAATTCCACCCCTAACAGGGCCCTATCAGTGGTGTCAACAAGGACATTGCTGTTCTTCAGTGCCATGGGGACTGTGACCCGTTGGTTCCTTTAATGTTCGGTTCTCTCACTGTTGAGAAGCTAAAGAGTATGATAAATCCAGCCAATGTAACCTTCAGAACTTACTCTGGCATGATGCATAGCTCATGTATTGAGGTAATTTTCTTAATAAATGATGTTTTAGCTGAGTATGGTTAATTTTTTTCCCTCAAAACGAGTATGTATTGGGTGGGAGGGGTGGGGGTTTTTTTTGTTTGTTTGTTTTAAATAACGAGTGCTTGATGCTACTGGCTTGCTTTAGTGAGTAATTGAATGCCTGGCTGAAAAAGTATCCAAGGCAAAAGTTTATATGACAAGTGGGAACTTCCTCGTAAGATTGTATTTTGGGGACTAGGCTAGTTGGTCTATAAAATACTCCCCTCTCCCGTTTTTTTTCCCCCCCAATTTTTATTATTTGTTTACAAAAAAAAAAATCCGACCCCAAAAAACCCACCAAAGCAAAACACTGAATTGGAAGGCAGATTCTCACAGCATAAATCCAATTTGGTATTTTGGAGAGAAGAATCTTGTTAGTTCTGTGGATGCAGACATCGAAGGAATGGAGAAGGAGGGCTGATGCTAAATGGTTCTGGCTCAGCAGGCAGTTGAGCTGATGTAATGGCTTGCTGCTGCCAGAAAGGGGTGGCCTAGTTCCCTCTGCTCCTGACCTTGTGGCCCTCTCTTCCTTCTTGCACCAGCTCTGGAGCTGATCAGAAACTTCTTTGAACATTTGAACTTGCTAAAATGTTCAAAGCTGCTGCCTTCAGTTTTTGCAGCTGTAGTGAGTTGAAGCATTGGAACTCGGACAAAGTAAATGGTAGGAGCAAGAAACAGAAGAGGAGGCAAGGACCAAGTCTGCCATTTGTCAGCAGTAGTAACTTTGTTAGTTTGGATTTCTGCATCTTGTGGGAACTGTACCCTTGGATAACTTCTTTGAGACATTTACACAGTTGTATTGCGTTTAGGCAGTAATAGCGCTGAGTTGTCACACAAGTATATTGATAATGTGCTGCTTCTTGCAACATTGACTTAAAAAAAACTAAATTATTTTTAACATGGATTGGTTTCCCAGTCTAGTTCACTGTATTGCTTTTCCTTAAGGAAGGTGAAACTGAATGGTTAGGAGGAGGAGCTGCTGGATTTTCACACTGCTGCTAACTTGCAAAAAATTTAAAGTATACACGAAGCTATGGCCTTAGCTACATTCAAATCCTATCCATCCGCAGCCTGGTGCTGTTCAGATCACTTGATGGTTAATGTAGCTTGCCAGCTCAACTTCATAGAGAGGGAAAGTAGTCTTTGCTCTTTTTCTTGTATTTTAGCCTTTTCTGAGTGTATAGTGCCTTGAAGAGTTAGCAGCCTTGACTTGTGTGCAAAGTGGTATGATTTTATCAAGTAACTAATTAGTCAATACTTGTAGCTCAGCTGCTCGTTATAACTGAAATACTGGAACATGATTTAGTGTAGCTGAATATGTATTACTAGGGAACTTTAACTAATACATACTTTTATCTTTAAACAGGAGATGATGGATGTAAAACAGTTCATAGACAAACATCTACCTCCTGTAGACTGAAACGATATGTGAGAAGCCTTCTATATAAATACACCAGCATCAACTGTGGTAGAGTGTTAATCTTTTCATATGCCTGAGAGGAAGCATTACTTCTGTACCTGCAGTGTTGCTACTGTGTTGCAAATTTATACTTGGGATGAGGATTAAATACACATGTACAAGAAATTATCATCTTTTGTATTAATCATCCACTGGTGGGACTATATGAATGAGGCAGCTAGGTAATAATGACAGAATGTAACCTAAGGATACTGTTTTAAGGTGTCTGATTTTTTTTTGATTGCAGAACTTTGAACTATTTGTACAAGTAATTAAATACTAAATTTAAGTGAACAGCATAAATGTGACCAGTTTAATTCTACTTGAGACATGATTTGCTCTTAATGCTCATTGAAAACATATTAAAACATTTCCTTTGTGTAATGAATGCATAAAGTACACAACATGTAACGTAGTAGGCATATGATGGTAGAATAAATGTTACCAAGGACAAAGCTTTAAATATTCTATGTTAATTGTTACTCCATATAAAGAGGGTTGTTCTAGAATGGCTAGAAGTCAACGAAGGTATTTCTCATATTTAAACCACCTCAACTTTTAACTGCTTTCATATAGGTAGATACTGTGGAAATTCTAAAGGGACTCATTCTTTGTTAGACCATCATTTGTTGCTTATTGTCTTTTTTTTTTTTTTTTTGATTACTATAAATTCACATCAAATGCTGACTTGGAACAGAATTCTGAAGAAGTCCATAGGATTCGAGTTTCATTTAAAAATTCATTTTTTTGTACTGAATATTCATCTTGTGCTTTAGTCTTTGTAGCTTTCATTTGTGTAGAAATGTTGATTATATTTCACATGAGCAATTCCAGCATATAGTTTTTGATTTTTCTGTCTGCTTTGGAGTAAATAACTGAAAACAATGCATCTGTGTAGTTTTGTGTATTGCTGAAGTCTCATCTGTAACACAGACATTGACAAATTTGAATTCTTTTTTAATAGAAATATAAGTGCAATTTGGATATAACTTGAACTTTAAATTGATACCATCTAATGCTTTCTTTTATTGCATGTTGAGACTTGATTTTTTTTTTCCTGAAAAAGAACAAAGAATTTTATTTTCAAATCTTATCATTCTGCATTTCCCTAGAGCAGTATAACCTAGGAATATGAAGACCTACTATGGGGGAAGAAATAAATCTACAAGATAAAGAATGTCTCTTCTTTCAGAAGCTTAAAATTCTAGAATGCACTGGGTTACAAAAATTGATGCACACTCAAGAGCTTTTTGCAGTCAAGAGCCATAATGTACTTCTGGAAACAGCTGCTCTTCTGTAGAGTTCAGAGGCTGTCACTGCACTAGGAATGTTTAAAAAATACACTACAGTTTTTACTACATAGTATGCTGCATAAGTGTTCTATACTATAATATGTTTGCAAGCAAAGAATATTCCTGTTTTGGATGCATCTGTCATGTCAGCACTGTGCTTCATACCTGCATTTTAGGTACTTTCTCTTCTCTCAGCTTAATCAAGTGGTCTTCTTACAGTGTATATGGATTTATGTCCGAGGCACCGGCTAGTACAAATGCATAAATGGGGAATTATGACTTTATATCCCTTCTTTAACATGGCTGCTGCCAGAAATCCAACTTGTTCATGTAGTGGGAGTTCTCAGTTTTCAGTGCTTTTCTTTGTATGTATTGCGCTTCATTTTTAGGAAGCTGTTTTTCTTTTCTAGTCCAGTTTCTCTGGGTTATTAAACATCTCTTAATATGTAAAATTGAAAAGGAGTTTTTTTCTAAATGGTATTGAAACAATTCTAGATATTCCATCTGTGTGGTTAAGAGGGAACATCTATTAACTTTGAAGTTTAATTAGTCTTTTCCCTCAATCACTCTGTTCTATAGATCTGCCAATTTGTCTTTCAGTTAATTTAGTTCACAGAAGAAACCATAATATTCTTATTGTAGTTGTGCCAAAGTTCTATTGAGAAAACAGTATGTCCTAGCTTGGAGTCGTTCCCAAATTGTGTTAGCTAATTTTGCAGTCCCGATGAATTGCAAACTCGGTAACCAAACTATATGTTATTTCTCCTAGTTTTTAGATTTATCCTCATTCCCCTGTTGTCTAAATATTTCCCTGAATATTAGCATGTCTCCAAAGTTCTGCACAAGCTTCTAATTTTTCCTTTATTATTTTCTTGTTCTGTTTGTAGATTGTTTGATAATGCTGTTCAGCTGTCTTGTTCAACTTCTAATTGACTGTGTGCTCATTTCGCATATTCTTTCTTCTGTTAAATGAGTTTAAAAAATATTTCTAAGATGTTAAAATGAGATCAGTCATAGCTTTATTCTGTGTTAGCGTCACGATACTTTCTTCAGTTTGGTGAACTGTGTTCACAGCTTGTGGTCGGTTTCTAGTAGTTAAGCATTTTAATCCAAGTCAGCTTCAGATTGACTCCATGATGCTTTCAGATGTTTTTCTAGAAATGCTTTATGTGCTAACTTTGTTCAAATATTCAGCTATCATAAGAAGATTTTCTTCACACTGTCGTTTTGCTGCTTCTTTTATCTACAAAGAGATGTCTTACCAAAGTAAATGCAAGTGAATGTTGTGACTTACTCTGAATTTCTGTATTCTAGGAAGAATTCTTCCCCTCAAGTTGTTTGGTTGGGTTTTTGGGGTTGTTTTTTTTTGGTTTTTTTGCAGGGGTGTATGAGTATGTTGTAGTTGTGGGTTGTTACAGAGCCCAGAAGCTAGAGGAAACTTCAAGGATGTATTTGAAGCCTATCCTGTTTCCTCCCATATTACAGTGTTTATCTTGAGCTCCTTTCTTTTGTAATTTCCCAGCTAGCTGGAAAGCTGCGTGTATGATCTTGTAGTTGAACTTCTTCACTACCTGAAGTGATTTGATGCTGGGATTGTTGTCATAATTGCGTATCTTTTTTGGCTGAACAATAGCTCAGTCTGGTGTGGGGGTTTTCATAAAATTCTATTAAAATGAAGAAGTTGGACTGTTGGAGTTCTAAATGTGAATATCCTATCCTCATAAACTATGATTGGAAACTGTCCAATAATGAAGTTTATTTTTTGTAATGTTAGACTTTCCCCACAAGGGGATGATGTCCGTCAAACCTATGAAAGCATTTATATGCAAATACCTTGCTTGTGAGTCAGTTTGTTTCAATAGGTATTTAACTCCCTAATGTGTTTTTAATTTCAAAATGGTACTTCAATTTGACTGCAGTTTTGTGCAGTCAGAAGTCTGACTTCTTGTTAGAATATGTTACCCGCTTTTTAACAAACGTGTTGAATTCTGTATTGTAAGTCAAATCTTCCAGCCATTCTTGAAGTAAACCTGCACTGGGGTCTGTACTGTGATGAGGGCTGTATGATTTGGTCTCTTCCTCCTATCTTGTATAATTACAACACAGTAGATTGGTAAAAGTACTGTACACTGTAACTGGTATTAGAACTGTTAATTAAAACATGTTCTCTCTAATGGAGTATACTGCACTTCATTGAAATCATTAGGATGCATCTTTTATGTAGAGGTGCTATTTGTGTTGATGGATGTGACTGAGGACAAACTGTGTAAGATGTTAATGAAGCCATATGTACAAGGCCTGTGTATTTCAAATTTTATACAGAAATACTGAACACTTTTTGTGTTATGAAGTATAAGCCATTTATACTTAATATAAACATCTTAAGATGTAATTTACTTAGTTTACTCATTTTATTTATGATAAGAAACGTTAACTTTGGAAATTACTTCTGTAGTAAGGAAAATGTAAAATCTTTCCATTTTTATCTTTCTGAAATAAATTTTGATCAGTGTTTGGGAAAGTACTAAAGACTTTTTCCATACTTATCTGAAAGAAGTGGAGCTTTCATGTGCTGCGAAACAGGCACTTTAGAGGCTTCTTGCAAATGTATTGCATGGGAATGTATGCGTGATGCTATAATACAAAAGAACAATCACTTGTAGTTACTGAAAAGGAAAAAAAAAATCACCAATTTATGTTTTGCTACCTCGTTGAGAGAATAACAACTATGATTTGATTCCCCCCCTCCCCCATATTCTGGGTTAATTTTATTTTAACTTGTTTTCTTGAAATTTGCAGTAATTTTGAAATGTAGAGGAAAATCAAATATTTTCTAGTAGCCTTATTCTAGGACACCAAAGAGCCAAAGTCTTCTCTCTGCATACTGCTGCACCTTTCTCTGGGGGTTCTGCGGTATCAGGGAGCCTTTGAAGTTATGTTAGGTGTGGCACACATACCACTTAACCTACTTGTTAAAGAAGCAGTTTTCAGGTCAGGGGTTACCTGTGCTCTTTAGGTTAACTGTAATACTCGAGGCTGATCAGTGGTATATGTAGTGTGGGGCAGTATAGAGAAAACTTGAGATTATCTGGGAAGAGATGCTGAAGAAATTTGGGAGTGAGTGGGGCGTGCATGTAGTAAAGGCAGACCTTCCCCCTTGAGCAGTTTAAAGCAACTAAAAGGCTGCTTGTCTCCATAGACTGTGATGTCTGAAAGTCAGTGTGGAGTACAGTTAGGTTCATGAATGTGTGGAAATGCATGTCAGATGCAGTGCTGTATGTGAATATATTGTGGGAACTCAAGGATATAAGAATAGCTAGTAACAATAAAGATACAATAATATACCGAGTAATTTGTCAGTTTATATTTGATGAAAAACTTTTTGAGTAATTTTCAGTTTCTTTCTTACTTTCAGCCCTGGCATCCCTGATGAGATAACTGTGAGGAGAAACCTTGCCTAGAATTATCATTATGAAAAATTACAATGTACTATTTTATTAAACTTTATCAAATACAGTATGAGATCACTGGTGTAAGTGAAGAAGGTGAGTCTCAAAAAGTTTTCAGAATGTCTGTTGGTTAACTTGGAAATGGGATTCTTTGAAGAATAATAGCTGAAGAACAGATTCTTTTTTTCCTTTTTCTTTTTGTTTTCATTGCTTGCCGCTCTCATGTTACCACCCTTTGCCTTTGGGATAACAGGTTTATTAATTCCCTTTTAGTGAAACAAGTGCCTTTGATGTAGCTGATTAAAGCTGATTTAAACGAAGCGCTTGTATAATTTAATGGACATCCACAAAGTGAATCGGTAGATAATGGTTTTCTCTTAGTTCCAATTACGAGAAAAGAGCAACTCATTGCCTCCTTTTTCTCTGCAAAATTTGTAAAACTTAAAAAACTTCCAGCCAGTTTGCTGAGGTGCAGTGAACCCTGCTTCAGGCATCTAAGTGGGAGGTTTAGCTTCTCTGTGTGAAGAAGGTAGACTTCCCTCAGGGGTCATTCAAGGTTCTTTTTTTAAAAGGCTACTTGTCTGCATTGACAGATGGAGCAGATGGACTCTGA